TGTGTAGGAACTTAGGAAATGTAATTCTTCCGCTCCTTCTCGTCCTTGCCCTTTCCTCCATGACCTTGTTCCTTCTTTCCTTCCTTTTTCACTAATATTTTATCAAAGAGTTAACTTGTTAAAGAATTAATTAATACAAATTTAGATGTGTTCTTCTCATGAAGGAACATTTTTGATAATGGGTTAGTTCTACCTGACTTAGTATTGTATAAAAAGGAACCCATCCTACCCCTTCTGTTCTTTATAAACTTCCCTGGAGGTGTCCAGAGAGGTATCTTCTTCCATCAACGTACCTCTCAAGGGAATTGGTAAAGATTTGACCCTTTTAGCCAAGTTTGATTTCTGACGCCATCAGAGGTGGGCAAAACCAGAATGGTGCTGAATGGGCTGCCGTTCCTTACTCACGTTGTGAATGTGCGCTACCTTGACTATATTTTTATATTAAAATCCTTAGATGCATGATTCAAACCTGTAATTTTTAGAGAATTTAGAGTGGACTCATAGAACTTTGAAAGCCTTTTAGAGATGATCAAGTCCAGAGGAGTCTGAACTGCAAATGGGAATGCCTGCAAGGTCTCTGACCGGACTCCACCACCACAGCCTACAATGAGAGCAGCTCCCTATTTGTTTCATACTTTGGGCTTCCACATAATGTTTTATCTGAACAAAGGATTCCAGGGCTACCAAAAAGTTTGAAAATTATTTGGCTAGCCCAAGCAGGGAAGGGACTTGCTCATGGCCCTACAGCAGAGCTGGGTCTGTCACCCAAGTCTCCTGACACTCACATCATGTTATCAATCTTCCCGTTTCACTATGTAATTATTTTAAAAATATTACATGTATATGTATTTATTGCTACCTCTCTGGAGTGCTTGTTGTCAGAAGCCTAGTAAATTAAAAAATTAAAAATTTAAAAATTAAAGAAATAACATTTTAAAAAGCAGACAGTGTACTTAAGATTGGAGGACTCCCTCTAGAAAAATATAGTTCCCACAATGAGAGCTTCTGGGACTGACATGTCCTCCACAGAAAGAGCTAGATTTCCATCCACTCATTTTGAAGTGTAATCCCCCAGTGTGTAGACTATCTGATCAGCTTTTTAAAGTCATATTTGTAGAGATGAATGACAACCACAGATTAGTAGGCATTAAAGAAAAGCTAATATATATTTTTAAGTCTAAAATGAAGAAAGAAATCCAGAAGTAACTAAATGAAGGAGATAAAATAATAATAATAACAATAATACAAGAACATAATCAGAATTAGGGGTTAAGAGTTTTCATATTGAAAGAACTCACTAAGTGCCCAGCACAATGAATGAAAAAGAATCCAAACAAGGCTAGTCACTGTGAAATTTTAGAAAACTAGGATTAAAGAATAAAATCCTAAAGGATTCTAGAGAGAACAATCAGCTCACAAAGGACCAGGAATCAGAATGTTATCAGGTTTCTCAGTTGCCATATGCAAAGTGAAATGACAGTAAAACAATACTTTATAAATTCAGAAGGAAATTATTCTCAGCCTGCATTCTATACCCAGGCAAACTGTCATTCAAGTGTGAGAATGGAATAAAGGTATTTTTAAATATTCAAGGTGTCAAAAAAGATACCTCCTGTGTTCCCCTTCCCCAGAAAGCTATTATAGGAGATGCTCCACCAAGAAGGGGCAGTAAATAAAGAAGTCATAAGACCTAGGGAACAACAGCTTTAACACAGAGAAGTAAACAAAATGTCCAAGGTGATGGTGAAGGAAAGTTCTGGGAAGATAACAGTGGAACAGGCCTAGAGAGCAGCCAGTTCAGATTGGAGCGCAGAGAGGGATGCTTCACGAAATATCTCCAAGCGGGGGAAATGGACTCGGTAGGTTATATGATGCTTCTAATCATAATGAGAAAGATTTTAGGGTTTTGTCGTCATTCGGGGAGGATCTAGTGATCTAACTGAGTACAAGATACTATCAAGATAAGTACTCAAGCCCTAGCCAGTTTGGCTCAGTGGTTAGAGCGTCGGCCTGAGGACTGAAGGGTCCCAGGTTCAATTCCGGCCAAGGGCACGCACCTCGGTCGCAGGCTTGATTCCCGGTCGGGAAGTGTGCGGGAAGCAACCAATCGATGTGTCTCTCTCACATCGATGTTTCTCTCTCTCTCTCTTCCCCCCCTTCCACTCTCTCTGAAAAGCAATGGAAAAAATATCCTCAGGTGAGGATTAAAAAAAAGAGTGATAAGTACTCAACAAGTGGGGGGAAAATGGCAATTAGCACTTCAAGAAAAACAACCAAAAAACTGCAAAAAAAGGAATAGTATATTACATGACTCAGCACTGAACAGTATTTTTGTAGCTATAGTAAGGTAAACACTAAATATTGATTTAACAAAAACTGTGATTTTGAATATCTTGAACATGAGAAGTAAAGTTGGGAGGTAGAGAGTGAAATCCTCGTGTTCTTTAATAAAGTCAGTAGATAGCTTGTGGGTTAGGGCTAAAATGTTAGTGTAAGAGGAGACATACAGGAGCACTAACTTTCATTTTTCATAGTAGGAACCCAGTAGATGATGGCTGAAACTGGAAGGGAAGGAGTAAGAAATATTAGCATATTATTCAGAGATACGGCGGTAAAGAAGCAGCAGCTGAAAGCAGTTGCTACTGAAGAGCGGAGAGCTGTTGCCTTCTCATCATAAGCCTTGTAGTAGTTTCGACTTTAAACAATACATGTACTTTATTTTAAATATTAATGTGTCTGTTTTATGTGTGAATTTCATTTCTTTTTTTTATTGTTGGCAGTGTGACAGATGTCCCCCATCCTCTCCCTTTGCCCCCTCCACCTAAACCCCCCACACACTCCCCTTCATCACATTGTTGTCTGTGTCCACGGGCTCCGCATAGTCGCATTTATGTTCTTTGGCTAACCTCCGATGTTGAAAGGACAGCATGGTAGAAGGATCTGGAGCTGTTACCAGGGTCTGGCCTTGGCTTTGTCCTTTATCAGCTCTCTGGTCTGGGGCAGGACACTTGCTGTATTGAGTCTTAGTTTCTTCACTTATGAAAGGAGGGGGTTGGAAAAGATGATCTCCGGAGTCTCTATGTTACAATACCCTAAGATTCTGTGATAAAAAATAGTAGTGCTGCACAGCAAATGCAGAGTTAAGGCCTGGGTGGAGGCTTGCAAGGCCCACATTTTCCTCTTTTGGTTGAAATCAGACTTGCAGACAAATTTTCCTTGTGGTCTCTGAAAGAATTCAACACCCACCTTCCACTGTGGACCTGGGGCAGGCAATTGACTGTATACTGGCTCAGGGACGCATAGCTTAGTGTTATTTCAGTATGGTTTTTTGATATTTAATATTTTTCAGTATGAATCACAGGTGAAATTGCCATGCCATGTGTAAACAATTTCACTTTTTTATTGAAACAATGAATTCAGGAATGTCATATTGGGATATCAGCCATTTTGCTTTTATCAATGTATGGGAAAAAATGCTTTTATATTAACATAAGAAATGATGTCATTTAATATGGAGTAGATCTTATAACTCAAGGTCAGCAAATCTCAGGAGGTGATTCAGGTCACCAAGCTAAGTTTTGGAAAAGGAAAAGAATATTTTTCCCTTTGTCTTCTCGAGTGTTTTTACCAATTTTCCTCTCACTTTGGGGTAAAGGGTGGAGTAGCATGGTCATGAAAAGGAGGCTCTGACTAATAATATATTTGCCATTGAAATATGTGTTCCTGGAGAATTTACTTTCCTTTTCTGAGCTTCAGTTTCCCCAAAAGGAAAGGATTGCCTTAAATATTTTTCAAGATTCCTTTTAGCTTTAACATTCTATGTTTCTACCGCCTTGTTTATGTGAGTGTTCAAGAGACCCAATTAGGTTTCGGGGTTTTCCTTTAAAAGTTCAGTGTAGTGAGAATGAACTTCTCACTACAAGTGAAAAACCAATTGATTACTAGATAGAAACAAAAGAAAACCTACTTTAATATTTTTTTGTTGGTCGTGGTTTTATTTTTTAAAAGAGGAAAATATTTAAAAGTTTGACTTAGTCACTTTTAAAGTTAGGTGCTAGAAAAGTAAAAATTCAGAACTGATGACCCTTCACATTTATACAACAATATGCAATTTACAAAGTGCCTTTTTCATATATATCATAACATTTGGAAACTACATTTCTGCAGGGCTGTGTTGCACACTTCCTGTGTATTTGATATTGTGTGTGAGCATGTATATGAATATGGACATGTACCTATCTCAGATCTTATCATGGTCAGTTAAGGAAGGGAGTGGGATTCAGAGACAGAGCGAGAGGGGGCAAGGAACAAACAGATGAAAACCATTTCGCAAGTTATCCAAAGAACATAGAAGGATACTTGATTTTAGAAAATCAGCCTTTAGCAGAAATAAGTAAAACTAAGAGCAGATCGAGCCCATAGGCCATAATTTCCTCATGCTAGCCCTATAGCTCTGTGCTCTTGCTCTGGATGCAGAGGGAAATTATAAATACAAGAGAAATATAGAGCACAGCCTCTGTCAAACGTGGCTGGCTGTTTGTTTAATAAGCACTAACTGAGCACTAGCACAGTATCAGACACTGGTGGACATTAGGTCAACACAACATGATTCTTACGCATAATTATACAAAGGGAAGGATCAGTGAAAAAAAGGCTGAATGTGCTCAGAGTATATAATATCAAATGAAATACTGGTTTTATGGTATATGTCCCTGGAATGGATGTTAGCAGATCCTACAGGGGTCTTTGAAATATCCTGATTCCACAGTCAGTCATTCTTAATCTTTTCCAACTTTAGGGGATGAGGGAGCAAGAAATGAAAAGACTACTTTGAAACACCATCCCAAAAGTGTAGTTGATGATATTGGGATCATACATTCATATTTCCTCTCTTTGAGTTAAAAAAAAAAAAAAAAAGACATGCTTACTACATCGTGTTTCTAAAGCATTGTCTAGTATCTGCCAGAATTTCTTTCAATTCTATTTTTCTACCTTTGTAGCTAAGATATCAACATGGACTTGGGACTCCAGACTTGAGGCAAACCCTTCCTAACCTGAAAAACTTCATGGAACATGGACTACTGGTCAGGTGGTGAGTACCTTTATTTCTGATACTCAGAAACTGTAATGCACATAATAATCCTGAGAAACTTTTCTGACTTCCACACTACTCCACACCTGCCTTCTGGGTCTTCTTTTGTAATAAGATATCTGAAGAAAAGGAAAGACAGCCATTGTACTTTTGTAGGTCTAAGCTCCCATCTGGCAAAAGAGGGTGAAGCACCCTCGGGAGGAAGAGGGTTCGAGGGAGTGTTGTTTGAACATTGGGAGGTTGGCTGGGCAAGCAATTGTTGAGTACATTGCTGAGGCAGAGACTGAAGTACAGCCCTGTGATTCATAAAAGGGAGAGACATGGAGCCCCTAAGACTTTTCTAAAGAGCAAGTAAAGGTCATAAATATAGAATGAGCAGCAGGATCAGTGGCTATGAGAGTTAAAGGAAGAAAGCACACAAGGAATAGGTTAGGTTTGTCAGGAGGCCAGGAGGCACATACTAGAGTGCTTCTTGTGTTTGGTGTCAATGCCTGTTGTACCATGAGGGCAAGCTGCTACTTAAAAGTGCTTTGTCAGGATAGACATGACTTTTTTAAAAAGAAAGGGGAAATGGAGATCCGAGAGGCAGCAGAGTAGGTAGAAGTTACACTCACCTCCTCCCAGGTCCCAACTGGAATCAAAACTAAATTATAGAACAGTCAACCTGAATAACCAACTGACGACTAGCTGAACAGAAGTCGTATAACCAAGGATTTACAGAAGATAGCACATCTAGACTGGTAGGAAGGGTGGGGGCGTGAAAGGGGCTGCCCCACACCCATGTGAGGCAGTAGAGAATCCAGAGGAATATCTCAGCTGCAAAGGTCCCCCTGAGGAGTGTGGGGTCTCAACCTTATGCCAGGCTCCCCAGCCCGGAGCACCAGAGCCAGGAAGAAGAGCCCACATAACATCTTGCTGTGAAAAAAGCAGGGATTCAGTCCCCAGGGAGATATGGGAGTCTGAAAGTAACCCAGGCACCTTCTTAAAGGGCCAGCGCACAAAACCTCTTCCACAGCCACTCACCTTAAGCTCCAGCAGACAGAGCATGGTTCAGAGCGAAGTGGAGTCGTGCAAGGACAGACTGAGTTGTGTGGCTTTAAGGAGAGAGCTGAAGGGACCAGCTGTGAGGTCGCTGTGCTGGGTCCTTCTCCTACACTGCAGAGATGGCCTGCAGGTGCCATCTTTCCTGGGTAGAGCATTCCCCTCCATACTGCATCAGCCTGGAGGAAAGCACTAGCCTCTACCCCCAATCCCTGTCACCCTGCCCTGCCGAGCTCATGCCCTGCTAAGGAGTCAGCTGCCTGGGCCTGGATGTCAGAGACAGAGTTGTATGGCTCTGGGTCAGGGCCACTGGTGCTACCCTTCCTATGCAGAGCCCTCTCTTCACATGGCCAAATCTTGGTCTGTTTGGCCCTGAGAAACTCTGCTGGCCTTACCCTGATAACTTCCTGAGAACCCCAACACCGCCACAGAGGTCCACGGGCACTCAGCGGGTAGCGGCTTGTCTTGGTGTACCCTGAGACTTGCTGAGTTGCCTCAGTCCCGGTATTGGGGAGGATGTGGAATAAAGGGAGCCTTTGTGCACTGATGTTGTGCGGCCAGTATGGAAAACAGTATGGAGGATTCTTCAAAAATTAAAAATGCAACTGCCTTATGGCCCAGTGATTCCACTTCTGGGTATATATCTGAAGAAACCAAAAACACTAATTCAAAGAATATACCCACCCTTATGTTGATTGCAGCGTTATTTATAATAGCCAAAATATGGAAGCAACCCAAGTGCCCATCAATAGACAACTGGATAAAAAAGTGGTGGTACATATATACAATGGAATATTACTCGGCCATAAAAAAGAATGAAATCTTACCATTTGGGACCACATGGATGGGCCTAGAGGGTATTATGCTAAGTGAAATAAGTCAGTCAGAGAAAGACAAATAGCATATGATTTCATTTACATGTGGAATCTAAAGAACAAAGTAAACAAACAAACAAAATTGAAATAGACTCATAGACACAAAAAACAGACTGATAGTTGCCAGAGGGGGAGGGTGTTTGGGGAGTTGGGTGAAAAAAGTGAAGGGATTAAGAAGTACAAATTGTTAGTTACAGAATAGTCATGGGATCTAAGGTACAGCATAGGAAATATAATCAATAATATTATAAGTATGTATGGGCCAGGTGGGTACTGGAAATATTGGGGGACACACTTTGTAAGTATATGATTGTCTAACCACCATGCTGAACATCTGAAACTAATACGGAATAATGAATGTAAACTTTAATTGAAAAATAAAATTTAAACAAAAAGAGAAGGGGAAATGGAAAGTCTGATGCCAAGACATTAGAGTGATTCACTTGACTTAAATAAATGGAAAGCTATTGGCTCTAGCCATGTGGTAATTCTTGAAGTTTGAATCTTTGAATGATAGGCAGTAACTTAGAAAATCGTATGAATGGAAATTAGGCTTTAGAAAGTTAGACAACTGGGAATGGTATGATTTCTTCTAAAGAGCACTGGCTTCTGATCCCCGATTTTTGTCTAACCTGCTGTGTGAATTTAGAGGCCTGCCTCTCTGAAATGTAATTTCCTCGTCTGTAATCCCTGCCCTGCTCATCTCACCAGTTTGTGGTGAGAATGAAATGCGGCGTTAGACGGAAAAACTATCTGTGGGGAGGAAGGTACAAGATTGGTTTCATTTTTTTCTGTGCTGTGAGGGTAGGTCTTGAGGATAATAAAAAAACAATACATATGATTAACCTTTACTTTGACATTTTTATTTTTGTCTCATGTGATCTTCAAGATGCAAGTTCCAGATGTCTCATTTTAGATAGGACTCCTGTTAAGCAAATACACAAATGTTTAAAGAATTCTAGTCAGAATATCAAAATAATTATAAAAGCTTGGTGTTGCAGTGCCCTAAGGAATGATGGATAGGAATTGAGTTCTAAAATAAAATAATGGTAGGAAGGAGGAGGAGGAAGCGAGCAGGCGTTTTTAGTTAGCATCAACTCTGTAAAGTCTGGAGCATGACAGGAGTACAGGACTCGAGGCCTGCCTTCAAGGGACTTGTGATCCAGCTGGAAACGGGTATATAATTCATGGAAGGCTTTATAACAGAAATGGTAAATAATGTAAAATAATAAAAAAAAAGGAGAGGTAACCCACAACGCTACCTGATTAATCACTAAATGAATCTTTCTCTGCACAAACAGCAAGAAGTCCCAGTATCATTTATTGAAGAGTCTGTCCTTTGTCCACTGTTTGATATGTCATCTGTTTCATATACCAGCTTCACTTATATGCGTGGATGTGTTTCCAGGCTCCCTATTCTGCTTCGTTGTTTTATCTATAGATAGGCTAATACCACATTTTTAATTATTACAGGATGTAATTTCTGTGAGTCTTGTTGAGGTTTGTAGATACCCAATAAATAGCATCCCCCTTCCTCCTGACATTTGGAACAATTAGAGGCAGGGGATACAAGAGCAAACTAATAGAAATCAAATTGTCACTCTTGTTACCGATAGAGCTACTAGGAAAATGTGGCTTTAGATCTGTAATAAGAAGGGCTTGCAAAGATGTCACTCAAAATTAAACTTACCCTCATAATCACAGTGTGAACTGGAGAACCCTAGGCTTTCCCTGCAGAGGCAGGCCCTTGACTACACTGCAGAGAGTGGTCAGATGACTCTGCCGATGGGGCTAAGCCAAGAACACTCAGGTTTTATTTTCCTCTCTAAATTTACCAATCAGAAAAGGCCCTCCTTCTCTGAGAGCCAGTGAGTAAGAGGGTGCAGAGGGGCCAGGATGGTACTCCTAAGTCATGTTCCTTCAGAGCAAGGGAACCGGAAGGCACCCCAGCTTCCTTGATAGTCTGGTAGAGTAAGGCTCCTACTTAGGGTTCTTTTTCAAAATTCTTTTAGCTTTTCTTGACATATGAATTATATTTGAGTGATCTGACAGCTTTATGATATGGAGTCTTAACTGTGAACATGACATCTATCTGTTTTCTTTTTGTTTTTTAGATATATCTCAATGAAGTCTTTTCATTTCCTTCATAAAGGTCTTACAAATCTTTTATTAGATACTTAGTCCTAGGTAGCTTACCATTTTGATGGCTGTTATAAATTTTTCATTACAACATCCAACTTTTTTGGTAGCTAATGTACAGGAATACCACAGATTTTTTTTTTTTGTATTTTGGATAGAATTCAGCAGCTTTGCTAACATTAAGTACAATAGGTTGTCTTAGATTTTCTTGGATTTTCTCTGTACACAAGGTGTTTTTGTGAGTGATGGTTTTGTTTCTTCCTTTCTATTTTTACATCTTTTATTACTTTTTATTGTCTTATGTTTTATTATGGAAGAGGAACAGTGATCATGGATATCCTCGTTTTATTATTGATTTTAAAGAGAATGCTTCTAACTTTTCACCATTAAGTATTATATGTATTTATTGCAGGTTTAAATAGATAATCTTTATTAGCAAAAGGAAGTGTCTTTCGATTCCCAGTTCACTAAGTTGTTTTTTAATCCTGAATGTGTGTATATTGAATTTTATCAAATGCTTATTCTGATTCTGTTGAGACGATACTATATTTGCTCTCCTTTACTATGTTAATGTGCTAATAAATATTAATATATTTTCTAATGTTAATTCTCCTGGGATAAACTCTACCTAGATATGATATATTATTTTTTCCCATATTATTGGATTGAATTTGCTAATATTTAAAGAATATCTATATTCGTGAACTGAGATGAGACTAGCCTATAATTTTTCTTTCTCATATAATAATTGTTGTCTGATTTTGGTAACAGAGCTGTAACAGCCTCATTCTTTCTTTTCTATTCTCTGGAACAGTTGGTACACAATAGGAATTATCTGTATGTTGAAGGTCTGATAGAAGTTAGCAAAAGCCTAGTGTTGAGGGGAAAAGTATAGATTTTTAATGACTGATTTAATTTTTATAATGATTGTAGGTCTATTTATGT